CAACTGTACAGGAGGATTAAGAAAAATTATGAAAAGTAGAGAAATATCAAGGCAAACAAAACTAAAAATATATAAAACTATAGTGAGACCAACCCTAACAAACGCGTGCGAGACATAGATTAACAAATAAAATGAAACAAAAACTGTAAATTTGGCAAAGGAAGATACTTAGAAGAATACTTACTTATATCTACTTAGAAGAATACAATACATATTTCGATTTCTTGACTTTTTTTTTATTTTTTAATTTAGATTCTTCAACTTTTTGATGTTTTGATTTCTCAGTTTTTCGAGTTTTCGATTTTCCGGTTTTAAATTTTCTGTTCTTCAATTTGTCAAATTTTCGAATTTCGGCTTTCCGATTTCTCGATTTTCTGTTTTCAATTACCCAGTTTTCAATATTCAATGTTGGAATTTTTTGATTTTTCAATTATTCGATTCTTCAAATTTTTTATTTCTCGATTTTTTTCGGTTTCTCAATTTTCCGATGTTTCAGTTTTCGGATTTTTCGATTTTTCTTCTTTTCAGTTTTACGATATTTCATTTTTTCAATTTTTGATTTTTCAATTATAATCGATTTTTTGAGTTTCCCATTTCTCGACTTCTCGATTTTCGACTGTTTCGATTTTTTACTTCTCCAATTCTTCAAATTTTTTACTTTTCAATTCTGCGAGTTTTTGACTTCGCTTTTTGAATTTTTGATTTCTCGGTTTTTCAAATTTTTAATAGGTACCTACCTATCTCAATTTTTGGATATTTCGGTTTTACGATTTTTCAGTTTTTCCATTCTTCAGATTTTCTACCATCTTTCAATTTTTCGATATTTCAGTTGTGGAATTGTTTAATATTTCGACTTCTGGACTTTTCGATTTCTTGATTTTTTACTTTTTCTATTTTTCAATGTAGATTCTTCAACTATTATCCTGTTTTAAATTTTCTGTTTTTCAATTTGTCAAATTTTCGATTTTTCGGCTTTTCGAATTCTCGATTTTCTGTTTTCGATTTTCAGTGTTGGAATTTTTCGATTTTTCAATTTCCCGATTCCTCAAATTTTTGATTTCTCGATTTTTTTCGGTTTCTCAATTTTCCGATGTTCAATTCAATTTTAAGATTTTTCAGTTCTTCTCTTCAGTTTTACGATTTCTTTTTTTTTTCAATTTTGAACGTTCCTAAATTTTCAATTTTTGATTTTTCAATTAATCGATTTTTTGATTTTCCCATTTCTCGACTTCTCGACTTTCGACTGTTTCGATTTTTACTTCTTCAGTTCTTCAAATTTTTGAATTTTCAGTTTTTCAATTTTTTAAATATCAATTTTTCGGACATTTCGGTTTTGGGATTTTTCAGTTTTTCCATTCTTCAGTTTTTCTCCCATTTTTCAATTTGCGGAAATTTCAAATTTAGGATTTTTCACTTCTTCAGTTCTCAAATTTTTCGATTTTTCAACTTCGATTTTTGATTTTTAGATTTCTCAATTTTTCAATTTCTGGTTATTTCAGTTTTAGGATTTTTCAGTTTTTTCTTTCTTCAGATTTTCTTCCATTTTTCAGTTCTTCGATTTTTCAGTTTTGAAATTTATTAATATTTTGACTTTTCGATTTTTCGACTTCTAGATTTTTCGATTTCTTGATGTTTTACTTTTTATATTTTTCAATTTATATTCTTCAACTTTTTGATTTCTCGATTTTGCAACTTTCGATTTCTCGATTTCAGTTTTCGATTACCCAGCTTTCGATATTCAGTGTTGGAATTTTTCAATTTCTCAATATCTCGATTCTACAAATTTTTGGTTTTTCGATTTTTTATTTCGGTTTCTCAATTTTCCGATGTTTCAATTGTAGGATTTTGCAGTTTTTCTTCGCTTCAGTTTTACGATTTTTCATTTTTTCAATTTTTGACATTTCTAAATTTTCAATTTTTGATTTTTCCATTTCTCGACTTCTCGACTTTCGACTGTTTCGATTTTTCACTTCTTCAATTCTTCAAATTTTTGACTATCAGTTTTGCGATTTTTCGATTTTGTTTTTTGAATTTTTGATTTCTCAGTTTTTCAATTTTTTAATAAGTATTTCAGTTTTTCGGATATTTCGTTTTTAGGATTTTTCAGTGTTTCCTTTCTTCAGATTTTCTTCCATTTTTCAGAGTTTCGAGTTTTCAGTTTTGGAATTTATTAATATTTCGATTTTTCGATTTTTCGATTTGTAGATTTTTCGATTTCTTGAATTTTTACTTTTTCTATTTTTCAATTTATATTCTTCAACTTTTTGATGTTTTTATTTCTCAGTCTTTCGACTTTTCGATTTTCCGGTTTTAAATTTTCCGTTTTTCAATTTGTCAGATTTCCTATTTTTCGGCTTTTCGATTTCTCGATTTTGCAACTTTCCATTTCTCGATTTTCAGTTTTCGATTACCCAGTTTACGATATTCTTCAAATTGTTGATTTCTCGATTTTTTATTTCCGTTTCTCATTTTTCCGATGTTTCAATTTTAGGATTTTTCAGTTTTTCAATTTTTCGTTTTTTCAATGTTTGACGTTTTTTTTTTATTTTCCCATTTCTCGACTTCTCACCTTTCGACTGTTCCGGTTGTTCAATTTTTCAATTTTACGATTTTTCGACTTCGCTTTTTGAATTTTTGATTTCTGTTTTTCAATTTTTTAATATATCAATTTTTCGGATATTTAGGTTTTGGGATTTTTCAGTTTTTCCTTTCTTCAATTTTTGGATGTTTCGATTTTTTACTTTTTTTTCAGTTTTCCAATTTTTTTATTTTTAAATTTTAGGTTTTTCAGTTTTTCGATATTTTAATTTGTTAATTTTTAAATTTTAGATTTTTCAACTTTTTGAAGTTGGATATTTCTCAGTCTTTCGATTTTTCGACTTCCCTGTTTTAGATTTTCTGTTACACTTCAATTTTTCGTTTTTTTAAATTATAGAGTTTTTTTGTTTCTCGATTTATCGACATTTGGATGTTTCGATGTTTTCTTGCATTTTCGGTTCTGCCTATTTTGGTATCTCAATTTTTCGATTTTTCGACTTCTCAATTTCTCGATCTTTTGATTTTTCGATTTTGGGTTTTTCGATTTTTTACTTTCGGCTTTTCGATTTTTCGATTTTCTAATTTTACTATGTTTCGATTTTTCAGTTATCCAATTTTTTTAATTTTGACGTTTCGATTTCTTGGTTTTTAAACTTTGAAATTTTTCATTTTATCTATTTTTTGATATTTCCATTTCTCAATTTTTTGATTTTTCAGTTCTTCGATATTATTATTTTTCAATTTTGCAATTTTTTTAATTTTACATTTTTCGGCTTCACGATTTTTAAAATTTTTCGAATTTTTAGATTTTTCGATTTCTCAGGTTTTCGATTTTTTAATTTTTCATTTTTTTCCTCAGTGTTAATATCATACAATATTTCCAAAACATAAAAATAATTACATTTTCCCGAAAAAAATCCATTGGATTATTATTACAATTTCAACAATACTGTCAATTTAGGATGTATAAAACACAGTTATATAAGGGATGAGTGCCACAGTGGCCTTATGAACGAGTTATTTATACTATTTTTTCTACCGCGCATATTTTTTCGCAAAATTTCATTGAAATTTGCATTTTTTTAAATCTGGGGAATTTTGTCGTGGTTGATGATGACACTAACCACGAAATATTTGAGGTTGCAATTTTCACAACAACAACTGTAATTCGAATCAATTCGAGTTTCTGTAAGTTAAAATTGGTTAAAATGTCTTGTGAAGAAGTTAGTGAAGTCCTTACGCTTCCGGAAATACGGGAAATTTTAATTTGACATTTGCCACTAACATTCACCTGACATTATTCGTCATGGCTACCAATCTTACCGATCTAAATTACACCAGAATTTGATTTTTCCTTTAATTAAAAATACATAAAAAAATCAGTACAAGGCATTCTACGACGTCCGTTCTGTTCCCATAGCTCACCGCCGACAAATTTTCTCCATCATTCACTGAGTAAAAAACCGCTCTACATGCGACATGACGCGCCGCAATGAATGCCATAAATCGGTCAGCAGTAAAAGTAAATAGGGCCGTAAATGGCCATATTGGAGCATGTCCAGAGGCATTATAAACCGGTGAAAGCTTGAACATCGTTTCGATTTTATGACATGTCATGCACATTTTGCGGCATGTGTCGCGAGAAATTATATGAGAATTGCTGCATACGAGACGGTTTCCTTAAATGCTGCGAGGCCTTGACTTATTGCAAGAATTCGAACTAGTAAAAATATGGACTTGATCAGACGTAAATTCCATTTCTGTTAATCGAAGCTGACACTTGGCAATACGTTTGCTACGGTTTCGTGCTATTTATTAGGTCTGGCAAAAATGTGGCAAATACCAAGGACGAAATTGAAGCAAAAATACTACAAGATTTATGGCTAGGGAAGTTGATGATTTATTGTAATTGAGGGGTTTCAGGTTTTATGTATTTTCTGTCTATGACACACACGGTGATGGAAAAAGTGAAAATCATGGACTACATGGTAGGTATTTAAACACTTTTTTGTAATTCGCTGTCATGTCTGTTAATGAGTGTGATGTAACGTTCTACTTTGTACATATTGCTTCACTGTAGTGGACGTTTTTGCCGGTAATGAAACCTAATTAGCGATATAATTAATATTATTTTATGAGATAGGGGTTGTCGGTATTCTAACACGTAAGCGTTAACGGAAGTAATAATGTATCAAAAGACAATTAAATAATATGGTTCTCGGCTTTTTTTGCAAGTTGTACAGAGTGGGTATTTATATCCTTATTAGCCTGGTGTTACGTTCAAACTAGGTAGTTGTTCTACCCTCATAGATGTAAATTTGGCTTACTCCATGTTAATTATGCAACAACTATGGATCTATGAATCGAGTTTAAGTGTTAGGTGCGCTATTCTTGTAACGGAATTAGTACACATAATAAAAATGAATTTTAACTTTTTATTGAGCTTTCCCAAAAATACTTACGTAGCATGTAGTGGATAGCCGTTTTTAGTTAGTTTTTTCTCCGTTATTTAACGCACATCAGGGGCTGATATATATTCTGCAAAAATAAAAAAACATTTAATTAACAGTTAGTCATAATCTCATAGTAATTGATTCAATTGATCGCACGTAAATTTATCGCAGCGTCAATTTATCGCAAGGTAAAATTCATCGGGAAGTATTTTCTTTTATTAAAACTAAAATATCGAATTAAAAACAATTTGAATATAGACAAGTGACGAAGTTTGTAGTTGCACTTTAAAAATTAAAAAATACGAGCGTAAACACCTCGTTACATAAGATTTTTTATTAATAAATTGCCATTTTGGTTATTTTTTTTAAGAGATTGTTACTATTTGTGTGTTGCTTATTTTACCTATTATATTATAGGAACTAGCTTCATTATAATAAGTACTCAACATAAAAAAGTGTTTATTGTTCTTAACTTGATTTATTATACAATTATTTAAAAAATCATATTTTTAACAACCGTTAAATTTTAACACATTTTGGTACAGAATTACCTCTATTGTCTATTCTTGTCTTTATACATATCACCAAACAATAAAATTTATGAACTACTAGCATATGCAGCGAATGTAAATTCCACAGGACGGATATAATACTTATTTTAATCCCTTGTCAATTGCAAAGGATCTTTTACAGGGTTTGAGAAAGGTTTACGCGTGTTGTAAATATATATTGCAAAAACTTTTGTTAGAGCGTCAAGAATAATTTTGTGTTACCGGGAAATCTAAGAAATGTGGGTGCTTATGCAACTAAAAACTTACTTTTTAATTATTATTATGTGACTAGCATTCTACTGAAAAAAAATTCAGTTGTACCATATGTGGGTGTAAAAAATACATATACAAGGTTATATATATACAGCTCTGCAGGCCTTAAAGGCCCTGGGCTCTTTTAACAATACTTTTCCATTTGTTCCTGTCGGCTGCTTTGGATCTCCAATCTTCAATGCCTAAGTTTTGAAGATCTTTTCGAACATCGTCTATCCACTTCAGTTTTGGCCTTCCTCTCTTTTTCTTTCCTCCTTTTAGGCGGTCTAATATTTTCCCAATTGTCCTTTCCTCTGGTGCTCTTCCGACGTGGCCTAGCCATCTTAGTCTCTGTGCTCTGATTATTATCTTCGTGATTGTTGGTTCTCCGTATATTTCCTCGATCTCTCGGTTTGTTCTTCTTCTCCATTGGTCTAGTTCTTTTATACCTCCATATATCTTTCGTAGTATCTTGCGTTCCCATACTTCCAACTTCTGTTCCTTTTCGTTCGTTAGCGTCCATGTTTCGCTAGCGTACAGGACTGTAGGTCTTACTATTGTCTTATATACTTGTTTCTTTGTTCGTCGTGTTACATTCTTATTCCTCAGAAATCTGTTTAATCTCCCTACACTCTTGTTTGCTTTCGCGATCCGTTCTTCTATCTCTTCGTTCATTTCGTTTTTGTTTGTAATTACTACTCCTAGATATTTGAACCTATTTACTTCTTCGAATTCGTATGTTGTTCCTCCTTCTGTAGTTACTTTCAGTGGTTTTGTTGGGGTTTGTTTTGTTTCCATCTTCATAAACTTCGTTTTCTCTTGGTTGATCGCTAAACCCATTCGTTCCGCTTCTCTGATTAGATTTTTTGTCATTTTCTTCATTTCTGCTTCTGTTCTCGTTATACATGTCACGTCATCTGCAAAGGCTATATTTTGGTGTCTTTTTTCGTATATCGTGCTCGTTCTGTGGATGCCACTTCTCCTTATTATTGCTTCTAGTACTAGATTGAACAGGGTAGTTGATATTGGATCTCCTTGCCGGAGTCCTGTTCTTACTTGGAATGTTTCTGACAACAGACCATTTATCCTGACTCTGTTTCTGGTGCTCTGCAGGGTCATCTTTGTCAGTTTTATTAGTTTTCTTGGGACTCCCAGTTCTTGCATGGCTTCTAGCAGTTCTTTCCTGTTAACCGTGTCATAGGCTTTTTTAAAGTCTATGAACAGCAGATATAAGTTGATTCCCTGTTCGTAATGTAGTTCTTGTAGTTGGTTCAATATAAATATCTGGTCTACAGTAGATCTATTTTTCCTAAACCCTGCTTGATATTCCCCTACTATTTTTTCCATATGCTGCTTTAGTCTTCGGTTGATGCAAGTGGCCATTACCTTATACGTTACGTCTAGCAGCGCTATACCGCGATAATTTTCGCATTTCGTAATATCTCCTTTTTTAAATATCGGGCAAAGTACTGCTTCACTCCATTGTTGTGGCATTTTTCCTTCCCTCCAACATTCTAGCACTAGTCGATGTATCTCTGATGCTACTGCTTCTCCTCCGTACTTTAGCATCTCGCCCTTTATTCCGTTTCTACCAGGACTTTTGTTATTTTTCATCTGCCTTAGTGTTTCTCTGATCTCTCCTTCGTCAATTTCTATTGTTTCATCTGGGTCATCCGAGTCGTTCACTCTTTCGTTCGTATCTTGCTGTGTATCCTGTTCGTTTAGCAGCTCTTCCAAGTATTCTGCCCATCGTTTTATTCTTGCTTGTTCGTCTCCTATCAGGTTGCCGTCCTTGTCTTTACAATATATTACTCGTGGTTGATAGCCTCTTTTCTCTTTTTTCACGTCCTGGTAGAAGTTCCTTATTTCGTTCTTCTTGAAGTTTTCTTCTATTTGTCGTATTTGTTCTTCCATCTTTGCTCGTTTCTTATTTCTGCATATCTTCTTGTACTCTTTCCTTTTTTCTTGGTAATCTTTTTGGTTCTTCTCATTTTTTGATTTTAGGTATTTCTGTCTGGCTGACCTCCCCGCTTCTATTGCTTTTCTACATTCCTCGTCAAACCATTCGTTTCTATTTTTGTTGTCTTTTTTGACGAACCCTAGTACTTCTTCCGAGGTCTTCCATATGTTTTCTTGTAGTGCTTCCCACCTCTCTTATATAGGTATGTCTTGCTTTGTTGATCTTATTCTCTCATTCGTCTATTGTTCGTATTCCTGTTGTACTTCAGCTTTCTTAAGTTTGTTTACATTTATATCACGTTGCGTCTCCTTTCCTTCTTTTTTCTTCGGTATTTCTTGTTTGAGGTCTGCTCTTACTAGAAAGTGGTCTGAATTCGCTTCTGCTTCCCTGTAGCTTCTTAATCTGGTTATTAGTTGGGCATCTCTCCTTTCTACCAGTATGTACTCTATTTGGTTGACCGTTTTTCCGTCAGGCGACATTCATGTGCCTTTGTAGATCTGTTTCTGCGCAAAGAAGGTGCTTTTGACTACCATTTTATTTTCTTCTGCAAACTCTATCAGTTTTTCTCCATTTTGATTCGTTTTTTGGAATTTGCTTTCTTTTCCGATTATTTGGCCTGTAGCAATTCTCTTTACCTATCATTGCGTTGGCGTCTCCTATAACCATTTTAATGTCATGCTTTGGTACTTTCACATATTCTGTTTCTAGTTCTTCGTAATATTCTGTTTTTACTTCTAGATCTTTCTCTTCAGTCGGTGCATGTATATTCAGTAGGCTTATTTTCCTGTACTTACTTCTCAATCTTATATAGCTCATTCTTTCTGAGATTGGTTTGAAGGTTATTACTGCTCCTTTCAGGCTCTTCTTCACCATAAATCCTGTTCCTAGTTCTCTGTTGTCAATTCCGCTATTAAATAATATGTAGTTGTCTATTTCAGTGATGAATTTGCCTTTTTGTTTCGTCTCTTGTATAGCTGCTACATCTATATTATACCTTTGTAATTCTTGAACTATTTGTTTGAGTTTTCCTTCGCTATATGTTCCTCGAACATTCCATGTTCCTATTCTAATTTTCGGGTTTTTCTTTCTCTTTGTAATACCTATCGGGTCATCCATGAGCTTTGCATACGTCGTCATTGTTTTCTGGTGTGTGGTTTCTTCCTCTGTTAGTTTTTTGGATTTTCTTTGGGGTGCGACGGTGCTTTCACTAATTTATCTAATTTAGTGTCCCAATGCCAGACTTCTGCCCATATCATCTTTTTGTACCCTACTTTTGCCTCGACTCCTTTCCCTTTTTCTGCTGCTGCTATTCCTCTTATTTTCTTCTGTATCTCTCTCTCTTGTTTGGTGTAATCGTCTTCAATAAACGTTTTTGATCCTTTTAATTTGTTCTTCTGTTTCATGATTGCTCTTTTTGTGTCCCAGTTCTCTATCTTTGCTACTACTATGTCGTATTTTTCGCTGACTAATCTTGCGTCTTGTATCTTAGTTTGGATTCCTACCTTATTTTTTAGGAGTTCTTGAACCTCTGCTGTTATTTCGCTTCCTTGTAGTTTCCCTCCTATGATTACGATGTTATTTCTCCTTTCTGCTTTTTCCAGTTTTTCTAAGTGTTGCTCCACTCTTTCTAATCTTTCGGTCAGTCTTTGGTTTTCTTCTCTTAGTGTTGTTACTTCTGTTTGGTATGCTCTTTGGTCTCTTTTCATTTCTGCGATTTCCTCCATTAACGTTTTGAACATATTCTTTACTTCGTCCATGTCTCCTGCTTGTACCCTCTTCTGCTTACTCTGTACTCTTTGACCTTCCGGTGATGGTGAAAAGGAGGTTTCTCTTTTTCGTTTCTGGTTGTCTTGTTCTTCTATTGCTAGTTTGTGTCCTTTTTCCCGTTCAGGATTCCCGTTTAGCATTCCCTGGCCGACTTTCTTGCTTCCTGTGTATCTAGTACGTTCCTGTGTTGTTTACTTCGTGCCGCGATAAGAACTGTCACCCAGATGATCTCTTCGGAGGTTAGGTTCTTTTGATTCCACACTTTCCCTAATAATTGCTGTCCTTACACTTCTTGGTGCTTCTTACTCTTATTCCACTTCACTTCTTTGTTTTCTACTACTTCTCTTTCGCTTTTGACGCTCGTGTTCTGCTTATCGTATATACAAGGTTAGTCACGAGAAAATTACTTCTGAAAATTATTTTTACGCAACCCAAAATACGAATACCGTGTACCACTTGATACTAACTGAATTTATCAAACGTAATGAAAATAATACTTTTTCACTTAAAACTGTAACGAGAGTTTTTTCACGATTTCATTGATCATGATAAATC